CCCCCAACAGTGAACATTCCCAGACACACATGAAGCCCCTCGCACCACTCCAGGCCCCTCTGCCATGGACCTGGAGGCGGCTGAAGGACTGGATGTGGGCTTGGGGACAGCTGTTCCACCACAGCCCCCCGAGGGTGAGCAGCAGGCTGAGCGCCACGCTTCTTCCTGCTGCACAGAAATTAACCCCAAGCCATGGCCTCTGCCCTGCCCTGATGCCCCTCCTGGAGGCGGGGTGGCCTCACCCCTGCCAGCCTGAATGGAGTAAGCAGGAGCTTGATGAGTAGAGGGGGTATCCCACCCACTGCCACCATGGCCACCACCTTGGAGCACTCCAGACACAGAATTGTCCATCTTCCCCTGTCCCCAGCCGGGGGGCACTGCCCAGGGAGGCCAGGCCAGTGGGCAATAGCCTCTTCTCCCTGTGCCTGAGCTTCTGCAGGAAGAGGGAGAACACCTCGGGCCTCCTAGAGGCCCTGCTGTCCACCCCGCCGGGGCTGTGGTGCTGGGAGGCGGAAACAGCTGTGGGGGAGAGGATCGGGGGTGGGAGAGGGCGTTCCTGCCTCCATGCTGGTGCCAGCCAGGGCTGGCAGGCAGGGTAGGGGCCTAGACATTCCCCCGAGCCCTGCCTGTTTACTTGAAACTTGAAGTTCGTCGGAGGAGCGCTCTGGTGCACTCGTTCCTCGGCCTGGTGCCAAGGACCCGTGGGGACCCTTTCCTCCTTCCCTCTCTGAGTCCCTTTCCTCCAGATCTCAGCTTGGTCGATGCTTCCTCCAGGCAGCCCACCCAGATTATGCCCTCATCCACTGTCACAGTGGCCCCTTGACTCTGCTCCCCACCGTTCTGAGTTTTGCTATGTGATAAACGTCTGGTTACACTCTACCCACCTCCCAACCCTGTCCACATCCCTCTTATTTCCCCCTCATTAGACTGGGAGCAGGCCCCTCTGTGCCTACTTATTTGAGACCTAGTGCTCGAAGCCTGTCATGTTACTAGTGTGATGATGGCACCTGCCAGCTGATAATGAGACCACACAGTCCGTTCTGAGCCCAGGGCCCAGCATCAGTGAGCACAAGGCTGTGGGTGATTATTAAGTGGCCACCTTGAGGGCGGGACCTGCTTCGATCTGCAGGATGGCCCTGCTGGACCAGTGTGCCGCTGACAGCCGGGTAGGGAGACCCAGGCCAGCCCTCAGCTGGAGTGATTGGGGGGCGGGGGCAGGCAGGCTGAACCCACCATCTTCCTGCTCTGACTGGGAGAAGCTGGGCAGCTGCCCGCACACAGGACAGGCACCATGGTCCCCATAGGCGATGGCCCGTTACGGGAGCAGGACTGAGAGACCCAGGAGCCAAGAACGAGCCTCTCGAGCCACCATCAGGCCCATCTCCGGGCTCTGCCTCTTACTGGTTGTGGGACATTGGGCAAGTAACTCACCTTCTCTGCCTCAGTTTCCTCATCTGTGAAATGGGGATGCTAATGGCACCTGGTGTCATTGTGAGGATTAAATGACATGACGCTGCATAAAATGTTTGCTGTTGTGCCCACAGAAAGTACTCGACAAAGGTCAGCTCTGGGTGTTCTGCTAAGTAGCCTGCAAATATTTATCTCCCCCAACTCCGCACTCTCCTGGGTCATTCTCCATTCTACTCTCACCTTCAGACTTCTGCCGATGGTCAAAGGCAAACCACGCCTGCACCTCTCTCGCCCTTTGTAAGAATCTCTGCAGAAACCACAAAAATGCAAGGCACGTAATGTGAATGGTGGACTGTGGGCTGGGAGCTCTGCGAGGGATGGAGTTCTGCATGGAACATTCCAGAACCCTCCTAGCAACACTGAAACCAACCCGCCAGGGCCGCAGGACACATCTCTCCCACAGGGCAACCAGCCCTGGCATTGCCCCTACGGGTCACTCACTCTGGACTGAGGCCCCCAGGGAGTGCCCAGCAGGGGACAGGGAGCTGGGCAGGACCCTCGCAAGTGGAGAAGCCAAGGCTGCCTTCTGCCTGAGATCGGGGGATCCTGGGCCTGTGACCCACCGAGGGTGCCAGACAGCCATTGTGGTCACACAGAATAGGGAACTCCTACATCAGGCACTGGGCTGGCGGCCCCCAAGCCCACCCCGCGGCGCCTCTCCCACAGTGTGAGGTCATAAGGAAGTTGCGTGTGATCCCCGTGCCTGCCCTGACTCATTTCACCACCACGGCTGCCTACTGAGGGGCCGCTGTTCACCCCACTGAAGGAGATGGAGGCTGAGGCTCAGAGAGGGCTAGAGCTTGCCTGATGCCACCCAGCTCCTCACACTGGAAAACCCAAATCCAGAAGAGCAGAAGGCTACCCACCCCGGCTCCCACCTCCCTCATAGTCCCCTGGGGATGGGCAGCCAAGTCCTTGGGGGAAGGGACACTGGGTTGGGGCCTGGACAGCAGACCCAGGGCCGGGTGGACTCCGGCAGGCCGGCTGTGGGAGGGGTGCCCAGTGAGGGGAGGTGTCTTGCTGTTTGGATTCCATTTCCTTGGCCTCCCTCCTCACCGTTGCTGCCACTCCCCGCAGTGCTTGGGTTGTGGGGTCTAAGACCACCTCTTGCCTCCTGGGGCTGAGCCACTGAGGTCTGGGGGCTGATGGGCCCAAGGGTCTCTGGGGCATGGCCCCCCATCACAGGTTGAGGCACATCTGGCCCACACCTACAGCTTCTGGGGTGGGGGGGAGTTGCCACATCATTTGGTGATGAAGACAGTGGCTCTGTTTCCTCTGGCCTGGGGGCCGGGGCAGGACCAGCCACTTCCCCCCAAGGCCGCAGGCCTCTAAAAGCAATACTCAGGTGCCCACACGCTGGGTGTTCGCTGCAGGTGCCCACAGGCTCTGGGAACAGAGCGGGCAGGAACGGGGACAACATATCACAGGGAGTGAATGGCTGGCCAAGCCGCTGCCCCCAGCCTCACAGCAGGGATCGTCCTGCTGAGGGACCATCCCTGGGCAGAGACCCCCCTGCTCATTCACACCCCGGCCCATCAAGTGGGTGGATTCCAAAGAAACGGAGGCTCTACCCGTTCTCTCAGTCTTTCTGCCTCAGTTTCCTCATCTATACCATGGGCCTTCTAAGAGCATCCTGTAAGCACGGTATGGTCTGGGGGCCCAATGACCTGGGTTCAAACTGCAGCAACTGCGTGTGAGTGGGGATACCTTGGACAGGTTGCTTGACCTCTTTGTATTCACTTTTCCCGTCTGTAAAATGGGGCACTGACTGTAGCCCCCACACCACTGTCGAGAGAATTCAAGCACTGGGAGCCCGGGAAGTGCTCAGTGTCCATGGAGGACGGACGTACAGGGGAGGGCTGGGGGCAGCCTCTCTATAGAGGGGCCTGAAGAGACCTTGATCCAGGGTGGGTGCTGGGAAGACACAGACATCACCCTGAGACCCAACTGGGGACAGTGATGCGGTGACAGAGGGACTGAACATGGTGAGTAGAGGGCCTGGGGGGACCCCCATCAGGGCAGCCAGAAGGCGAGGATCACCAGGTCAGCTTCAGGGGACCCACAGGCCCAATACTACAGGGTCTCCGATTCTGATCTCCTGCAGTTTAGCTTCCTTCAACAAACATGATGAGAGGCTATGGTTTGACCTGAGTTCCTGTACTAGGCCCCAACAGACAAGACCGAACCAAAATGGAGGCACTTATGCCAAACACCACGTCTTCAAACTGAAGCTTTAAGGAAGCAGATAGAGCCCAAAACAACAGACAAGTTTCTCCAGGAAGCAGGAGATTCCAGTCCACATGGGCTGGCGGCATCAGGAAGTCCCCTCTGTCTTACCCCTTAGAAAACAGCTGTCTGCAGTGACCCGGTGTCTGCAGCGACCCGGTGTCTGCGGTGACCCAGTGTCTGCGGTGACCCGGTGTCTGCGGCGACCTGGTGTCTGCAGTGACCCGGTGTCTGCGGTGACCCTGTGTCTGCAGCGACCCAGTGTTAGGTAGTTTGGTGTTTCCTATTTTTCTGTTTCCTCCTTCTTGCCCTACGAACCCCCTGTTCCGCCACAGCCTGGTGGGAAGTCTCATTCCATTTTGTAGAATGCAGGCTGCCCAGATTCATGAATCATGAATAGAAGCCAATTTGATCTATAACTAAATGTGTTGTCATTTTGTCTTTTGATGGCCTTAAGCTGGATTTTCATGAGGTCTCCCAAAGCTTGGCAGCCCCTCCCTTCCATGGGGTCCTTGGGGAGCCAGGGACCAGCGCATCCCCGCGTTTGTGGCTTGGGCCGACCCAACCCTGGGCCACAAAGCGGCTGAGCAGCCCCGGCTCCCTGCTGGGGCACAGTTCCCGGGATGAGAAGGGCCTCCTGCAGGCAGGGCGGGGCTGGCTACTCCTTCCTTGGACCCTGACAAAGTCCATTGCTAAGAACAATTCTTTCCCAGAGTCATTCATCGCCACGTCCCCGCATCAGTGCTGGGCATGCAGGCTGGTGCCCAGGAAACAGCTGTTGCTGGAAGAGATACTTGACCCCCTGCAGGGAAGGACGGCACAGTCCTTCCTGGGGCAGCTGGGCCCAGAACTGGTCCCTTGGTTCCCTTGGAGGGTGCCCGGGAACCCCAGGAACAGGAGGCGGTGGCAGCCCAGCTCGGACAACGGAAGGGTGCCTGCTAGCCAGTGGGGTGCCCGGGACTTCGCTGCCACTCCCCAGCCCTGCCTCTCCTCCTTCTGCTTTCTCCCCCAGCAGGCAGGCAGATGAGCTCAGCCAGGACATGGCGGCCCCTGAGTGCAGCTGCCTGTGGCTAGGCCCGCCTGGGCTGCCTGCAACCCACAGTTGCTGAGCTGGACTCTGGCCCTGACTGCTGGCCCACTACAGCCCCAGCCTCCCCAGAATACTGTACCTGAGGCTCTGCCAAGCTGCCCTTCCTCCTGGCTGTCTCACTCTGCCTGGCAGCCCTGCTGTTAAGAAATGTCCAACGCAGGGCCAGCCCCCGGGAGGCGGAGTTGCCCTGGCCTCGTGCCTGACTCTGGCTCTGGGCGGGCTGGAGGCTGCAAGCCGAGATTTCACCACCACCTCCCTCAGGGGTCTCGACATCTCCTCCCAGACCACAGAGAAGGAGTCAACGCCCAGAGGGCGCCAGGCTAGAGCCACACAGCAGGGGTGAGCTCCAAGCTGAGGGCCAGCCTGAGGACAAGGAGTGGGGCAGTGGCCCTGGGAATCCTGGTGTGGGGAGGGGAACTATCATTGTATCAATTATATGATATTATAATATTAGTGGAATGTTATATTCTGTGGCCCAGAATAGCAAGGAAGTCTCTACCCCCCACTCCCAGCCTTCCCTCGATGTCTCCCTAAAGAAGGAGACCACTACTACTCCTGCTGCCCTCCTCCCACCACCTTGCCTGGTTTACAAGACAGGAGGAAAGAGAGAAAGCAAAAAGTTAGAAAAAACAGAAGTAAGAGAAATAGCCAGAAGACCTTGGCGCCACCACCTGGCCCTGGTAGTTTAAAAAAGTAATAATAGCAACATCAACCCCTGACCTAAACTACTTGTGTTATCTGTAAATTCAGACATTGTATGAAAAAGCATTGTAAAACTTTCCGCTCTGTTAGCTGATGCACGTAGCCGCTAATCACATTCCCCACACTTGCTCCATTTATCACAACCCTTTCATGTGGACCCCTTAAAGTTGGAAGCCTTTAAAAAGGCCGAGAATTTCTTTTTCTGGGAGCTTGGCTCTTAAGACACAAGTCTGCTGACGCTCCCAGCTGAATAAACCTCTTCCTTCTTTAATCTGGTGTTTGAGGAATTTTGTCTGTGGCTCGTCCCACTACATTTCTTGGTTCCCTGACTGGGAAGCAAGGTGATTAATGGGTGTTCAAGGCAGCCCCTTAGGCAGCTTATGCCTGCCCTGTAGAGCATCCCTGTGGGGGACTCCAGCCAGCTTGAGCGATTCGGATCCTGAGAGCGCTCCCGGGTACGCATTGGCCCCGGTAGGATGCCTTGTCAGAGTAGCGCACAGCAGGCCCCCGTGGAGGATCAACGCAGTGGCTGAACATGGGGAAGGAACTGGCACTTGGAGTCCGGACATTTGAAACACGGTAAGACAGGTCTTGGGAACTTGCCCACTCCATCTGAGTGGAAGCGTGGCCCGACCACCCACAGGGTGCCTTTGTTGGCACTTTGGGTTTTGTTTTGATTTTGACTTGGCTTAAATTGCTTGACGAACAGGTGTGCCTTTAACAACACTTTGGTTTTAGTTTTGATTTTGATTTAGTGTGAATTAGACGAGTGAGTAACATTTTACCCTTTCCTCCTTGTAGTGTGAATGTTGTTTCGTCTTGAGAGAAAAACAGGTCAGACACAAAATAAGCCCACTCCGCTAGGAACTATGTTAAAAAAAAATCAAAAAAAGAAAAAAAATAAGAGAAAAGTCATCAAAACATCAAAACTTACTCTATTTTTGTTTGTTTGTTTTTTGTTTTTTAGAGACGGAGTCTCGCTCTATTGCCCTAGCTGGAGTGTGTTGGCATGATCTCTGCTCACTGCAAGCTCCCCTCCCAGGTTCACACCATTCTTCTGCCTCAGCCACCCGAATAGCTGGAACTACAGGTGCCCACCAACATACCCGGCTAATTTTTGTATTTATAGTAGAGACGGGATTTCACCATGTTAGCCAGGATGGTCTCAATCTCCTGACCTCATGATCTGCCTGCCTTGGCCTCCCAAAGTACTGGGATTACAGGCATGAGCCACCACGCTCAGCCAAAACTTACTCTATTAAAATGCATGTTATGAAAGGTTTTGGAGGGGGTTATAGAGTTAAGTTAACCCCTGTCCTCCCCCAAAGAGGCTGAGAACTCTCTGTGAATTAGAATTGCCCTCTTTTGGTGTTGGATAGCCGACGGAAGGTATAGGCAGGGAACAATTGGCAATGTATTTAAGGTGGTGACAAGAGTCAGAGGACAGCCAGTGGACCCAGATCAATTCCTTTATTATATTATTATATTTATTATATTAACTTATTATATTATTTATTATATTAACTTATTTATTATATTAAATAAATTAATATAAATTAATTATATAATTATATAATTATATAATAAATAAATATAAATTATTTATTATATTAACTTATTATATTAACTATGAGTTAATAATATAATATAATAACTATGAGTTATTATATTAACTCATAGTTAAATATAATATAAACAAAAACCAGCATAAATCCAGCCCTGTTTAACAGCTTATTGCAAAAGAAAAAAAAAAAAAAGCTGAAAGTGAAAGTAAGAGCAGTTTCGCCAGTAGACACAGAGTTAAAAGGAGAGTCCCAGGAACAGCAAGAGAAGTCAGTTTTGTAGGAGCCGCCAGAGGTAACAGAAATTTTTTTCTCCATGTGTCCCAGCCTACCCCTCTTTACCGAGGCCAACAGCCCTCCCAGAAATGAGATTCAGGAGCTAACACGCCCCAGGTCTCACCTCCAAGGGGAAGATCGGAGCCTTGAGAGGCCAGGAAAGGAAGTCAAGATAGTCAAGCGGGCCGTCTCAGATCTGGCCGTCCTCAAGCTATGTAAATGCCTCTCAGGGACACACGAGGACCTATCTATTATGATGACCAAGCCCATGTCCGGGGACAGGGGCAACAGACTTTCATCTATCAGCCCTTTTCTTTTTTTCTTTTTGAGATGGAGTCTTGCACTGTCACCCAGGCTGGAGTGCAGTGGCGTGCAGAAGCTCCTCCTCCCGGGTTCACTCCATTCTCCTGCCTCAGCCTCCCAAGTAGCTGAGCTGGGACTACAGGCGCCCACCACCACGCCTGGCTAATTTTTTTTTTTTTTTTTTTTTTGGAGACGAAGTCTCGCTCTGTCACTCAGGCTGGAGTGCATTGGCTCCATCTCTGCTCACTGCAAGCTCCGCCTCCTGGGTTCAGGCCATTCTGCCTCAGCCTCCCAAGTAGCTGGGACTACAGGCGCCTGCCACCAGGCCCAGCTAATTTTTTGTATTTTCAGTAGAGACAGGGTTTCACCATGTTAGCCAGGATGGTCTCGAACTCCTGACCTCATGATCCACCTGCCTTGGCCTCCCAAAGTGCTGGGATTGCAGGCGTGAGCCACTGCGCCTGGCCTATCAGCCCTTTTCAACCACTAAACTGGAAACACCCTGAACCCGCCACCTTGCTCCTGGTATCAGAGAGTCCTGTCAAGCATGACTGTGCAGAGGTGTTGGACTCAGTTTACTCTGGCAAACCTGACCTCCGGGACCAGTCTTGGGCATCAGCAGACTGGGAGCTGTATGTGGACGGGAGCAGCTTCATCAACCCACAAGGAGAGAGAGATGTAGAATATGCGATGGTAACCCTGGACACTGTCGTTAAAGCCAGATCGTTGCCCCAGGAAATACTTCAGCCCAGAAAGCGGAGCTCATTGCTTTAATCTGGGCCTTAGAACTCAGTGAAGGTAAGACTGTAAACATTTACACTGACTCTCGGTATGCCTGTTTAACCCTCCAAGTGCATGGAGTATTATATAAAGAAAAGGGCCTGCTGAACTCTGGCAAAAAGGACAAAAAGGACCCAGAGAACGCAACTCAGTTTCAGCGTTTGCAGAGGTACCGAGAGGCACTTCTGCAGAAGCTAAGAGTTGGTAAAAAGAAAGCCATTAATATAAGAAAAATTTCAGGGCCAGGCGTGGTGGCTCATGCCTGTAATCCCAGCACTTTGGGAGGCCGAGGCAGGCAGATCACGAGGTCAGAAGATCAAGACCATCCTGGCTAATGCAGTGAAACCCCGTCTCTACTAAAAATACAAAAAATTAGCCGGGCCTGGTGGCAGGGGCCTGTAGTCCCAGCTACTTGGGAGGCTGAGGCAGGAGAATGGCGTGAATCCGGGAAGCAGAGCTTGCAGTAAGCCGAGATTGAGCCACTGCACTCCAACCTGGCGACAGAGCGAGACTCTGTCTCAAAAAAAATTAAAAAAAAGAAAAATTTCAGAAGTGCTTCAAGGAACCGACAAGAGCCTAAGTCACTTTTATAAGAGACTCCATGAAGCATTCTGGCTTTACACCCCATTTAACTCTGAGGCTGCTGAACATCGCATATGGTGATTACTTCATTTGTAGGGCAAGCCCAGGGTGACATCAAGCGGAAGTTGCAGGCGTGAATACCACCCAGTCTATAAAAGTGGCCACCAACGTGTATGTTAACTGTGACCAGGGAACAAGACGGGAAAGAGCAAAAGCAACAAGCATGGTGGCTAGGCACGCCAAATTTTAAATCCCTCTCCCCAGCCCAGTTCCATCTAAAAAAAAAAAAAAAGGGAGGCTAAAGACCGGTGCCAGGAGAAGAGCAAAAGAAAAACAAGACTAAGAGTAAGTGTAAAAAAAGGAAATCAAAAGGGAATAGAAGAGACAGACAGCAGTGCGTGAGGGCAGGGCCCATGCCGTTGCCTGGCCCCGCCAGCTGGATGTGGGAGCAGAAAAACTCAGAGAAAAAAAAAAAAGGAAAGTAAATTCAAGGCTTAAAGAAAAAAAGCCAATCTGTTGGCAACAGCTCTTATAAAAAAAAATTAACAATGTGAGAGGACCTGGATGGAGATGCAGACGTGGAAGAAGTCAAGTTAGGCAAGGATTCAAGAGCTGGACAAGGCTAGAGAAAGATTAATGTGCCAGATACAAAAAGAAAGAAAACTAGAAAGATAAATGTTCAGAAGGCAATGAGGGAAATGGCCAAGGCTGCAAGACAAAGAGGCCATCGGCCAAGGGCTGCCGCACCTTGGAGGAACCAAATTCTGACCTGATCAGGCTGGCAGAAGCTGAAGGACGTGAGGAATAGGACAGACCCGGCACCTTCTCATTAGGCTCCCAGGAGCCCACGGTCACATTAGAAGTTAAAGGTGGCAGGATTCGGCCATATCTGGATTCCAGTTTCTCACCGACGGCTAAGCCACTAGATGGAGTTACAAAAGGGGCAGAAAACGAACCCCTCCTCTGGGAAACGGAACAGGAGAAGGAGCCCTGCCTTGTGAAAACTTGCTTGTAGACTTTACAGAACTGCCCCATGCCGGAGGCTGTCGGTACATGCTAGTGCTTGTTTGCACTTTTTCAGGATAAGTTAAAGCTTTCCCCACCAGGACACAAAAAGTACAAGAAGTGACTAAAGCACTGTTAAAAGACATTATCCCCAGGTGTAGACTGCCTCTAACTTTAAAGTCAGACAATAGGCCAGCATCTGTAGCTAAAATAGTGCAAGATTTAACAGGACTGTCAAAAATCAAATGGAAGAGACACACAGCCTATCGGCTGCAAAGTTCAGGAGAAGGTGGAATGCGTGAACCAGACACTTAAGCAGCTACTGAAGAAATATTGCCGGGAAATTCATTTAAGATAGAATCAGGTTTCTGCCTATGGTCCTCCTCCGAGTCAGGTGCACCCCCACCAAACAAACTGAGGATTTGCCCTATAAGATTTTGTTCGGTCGGCCATCCCCACATCATAGGTCAAATTAAAGGTGACCTCCAAGAACTAGGGGGATTAACCTTAAGAAACAAATGCAGGCTTTAAGAATTGCCAAAGTGTTCATAATTAGGTACATAAAAATGCCTATCAGCCTGACACCCCTTTAAATCTAGTGACTCTGTTTAAGTTAAAAAGTAAAATCTAATTTCTCTAAGACCCACATAGGATAGGCCCTGTACGAAAATCTTGTCCACTCCCACTGCTGTTAAACTTGCATGTGTTGTGTCTTAGATTCATCACAGTCAGCTAACACTGGCAGCTCAGGACAAATAGACCAGCCAGCAGGACGCAGATCATCCAATCCAGCTGATCCTGAGACGAGACCAAGCTTCTGCTGAGGACAACAGCCCTGCTCTGGTCACTCTGCAGGCTGACCAGTTTACACACGGCTGAAGCTTGAGGACTTGTCAAGCAAGTCACCTTCCCCACGCTTGCTCGATTTATCATGACCCTTTCATGTGGACCCCTTAAAGTTGTAAGCCTTTAAAAAGGCCAAGAATTTATTTTTCAGGGAGCTGAGTTCTTAAGATGCAAGTCTGCCGATGCTCCTGGCTGAATAAACCTCTTCCTTCTTTAATCCAGTGTCTGAGGAGTTTTGTCTGTGGTTCGTCCTGCTACATCCTACCCAAGACTCAGTTTCCCCTTCTGCAAAACAAGTCACACCCAAAGGTGGCTGGAGTCTAGAAATACCATCTCAGGGACCACACCTCATGCCTGCTCCTCTCCCAGCGCCCTGTGCTTCTATGTCCCTCCACATCACCCCACGGGCCACCCCATTCATAGAGCCTGTCTTCCCCCAGATCTAACATTTTACAAACGAGGAATTGGGGGTAGAAGGGGTGGGATGTAAACATGGGGGGTGTGTGTGGCAGGGCTTCTCACTCCAGAGCTGGGTCTGCACCCATCCTGGATGTCCCCTCTGCCTCCTGGGAGGAGTGCCTCCCTCTCTGCTTAGGACCGTGGTCGTGATGCCACGGTCACCTTGGTGGTTCCTGTAGTCTCGATCCTCCTCAGGTTTAGCACAGGCCAAAGCCTGTCCCTGCCTGCCCCCAGCCTGCCCCGGATACACCTGTCTGAGCCAGCACCCTGCAGGGATGATGCACAAGCTGCTGTGGATGTGGACAGGCAGGGGACAGGGTGACAGGTGTGGGGGAGGATCCTCCTCCCCTTCCTGGGCCTGCCACTGCTGCCATCTCCCTGGTGCCCTGGGTCTCCGTGGCTCCTGGCCCTGGGGCCTCTGGGCCAAGCTGGCACCCGGGAGGTGCTCATCACGGCCCCCACCCGCCAGCTCCCTGCCTACCTGGGAGGGCGGTGAGGTCTTCTGGACCACGCCCACACTGGTGGCCTGTGAGGATTTAGATAGGGTAGCAGTGAGGGACTGCAGAGCCCCTGTCCTCTGTGTGGGATGGAGCCCCCAGCCACTGCCAGTCACGTGGCTCAGCATGTGACAGCCCAGCCCTGCCATTCTCTGGAGCTCAGCCAGATCGAGCAGGTGCCAGGCAGGGCTGGGCAGAGGCTGAGTCTGTACATCTCAGCTGGGAGTGAGGCCCAGAGAGGGCAGCCACTGGTCTAAGGCCACATAGCAAATCAGGGACCCATCTTGGTGGGTACTGGCAGGTGGGAGGGGTGTTTCAGGATCCCGAGGGCCCCCTCCCTGGCCAGGGAGCTGTCAAGGAATTCCCCCCAACTCACAGGGGCTGAACTTGTCATGAATGCAGGAGCAACTGGGAAGAGGCCCCTGAAGAGACCTATCCTCCTGGGACAGGAGGGCTGGGCCCTCCCCAGTCTGGGTTGGGTGCCCCTCACTACTCCTCAAAGCTTCAGAGGCTCAGTGGGGCCTGGGAGTCCCGTCCTTGTTGAGGGGAGCCCAGGGTAAAAGGGGAACCCTCTGCGTACAGCACCAGGAGGATTCATTCTCTAAGCCAGCTCTGGGGTGAGGGGGCTCTGCCAAGGCCCAGGCCAGCCAGGTGGGGCGGATGGAGGGGAGCTCAGGGATCTGGGCCAGACAGCTGCAGCCCTGCCTGCCCTGCCTCCTCCTCGCTGGGCTGACGCTTCCCCTCTTTGGGCCTCGGAGTTCCCATGTGAGAATCGGGCTGACTAAGTCCCGGGGGCATCTGTGGGTGAATGAGAGGGTTCGGTGGGCACGTACCTCGGCGCCCGGCATGGAGGGCGTTAAGTGTGAAGTCTGGGCTTAAATCCTGGTTCTGTCACTTACCTGTGTGACCTAGGTTAGCGTCTTAACCCCCCGTGCCTCTGCCTTCCCATCTATAAAATGGGATGTGTAAGAAGAACGTACCCAAGTGATTGTGAGACCGAAACAAGTCATTCCATGCACGTGGGCCTGGAATTGTGACCACTCCAAGTGCCCCTGCCCCTCTGGAGGGGTCTGAGAGCTACCATCCTAACTCCAGGACAGGAGCATGGGCAGGGCATGAGCATGGCATCAGGTGGAATCATTCATTCATTCATTCATTCACTTATAATTCATTATTCATTCCCTCACTTCTCAGACACACACCCCTGAGCCTGGCTCACAGGGCCTCAGACCTGCCCGAGAGCATCTCACTGCCTCACCTGCCCACGAGTAACCTTGAACAGGTCACGTTTCCTCACTGGGCCTCAGTTTCCCCAGCTGTAAAATGGGGCTGACTCTAGCTGCCTCACACAGCTACTGTGAGGGTGAAACGAGAGCCGACCTGATGCACCGACAGGGCACCTGGTGCCCAGGAGGCGCCCAGAGCATGTGAACGTCCTCCTGCCCCTCTCCCTGCCCTCCTGAGGAAGTAGCTGCCCCAGGCCTTGGCCCTGAGGCCCTGGTCCTGCCTCCCACTCCCTCCCTGGCAGCCTGGAAGGCTGGGCCCACCCTGGCTCCTCGGAGAGGCAAAGTTAGAGGCTGCAGGGGCACAGGGCCCAGGACACAGTTGGAACTCACGGGCAACCGTGAATGCGGGTCACTTGTTCATTTATGCACTCAACAACCCTTTACTGAACACCTACTGTGTGCAGATACTTCACACAATTTTCACAATTCCCAGACATTATTGACCGTGCCTTCCAGCTGGGTCACACAGTGACAAGGACACACGGGGATCCACACCCAGCCAGTCCTGGCTCCCCGGCCCACGGTGCTTCCAAGGTGCCTGGAGCCCTCGCACAGGAATGGGCTGGGGTCATCAGCTCTGGGTGAGCCCCTTGCCACCAACTCTTGGAAGCCTCAAGTATCAGTGGAAAGCAGCAGCCACCTGGGAATTTGCTGTGCCAGGCACTGGGCAGAGCCCTTGGCACACCCCAACCTGGGGACCTCTCAACATCCCGTGAGCCAGACTCAGTGATCATCATCCCCGTTGGCTTTAATGTTTAAAATATTGTGGAATCGCATCCATGCCAGGGAAGTGGTGTTAAGGGAATCACGTGGGCTGCCCAGCACGCTCCTGTGTCAGTGCAATGCAGGGTAACAATATTCCAAGAGGTTATTTCAGGGAGTTCCAGTTGAGAGCAATATTTGTTCTCTTCGGCTTGCTTTTCTTCAAGGAACATCGATTATTTTCATAATGAGAACTGAAAGTAAAGCCTTATTATAGAGAAAAGCATTGGCAGACAGTGAGGGGGGAGATCTGGCTGCCCCTTCCTGGGGATGTGACTGTGGACTGTTGCAACCTGGATGGGTTGGCGTGAGTGCTGGCCCTGCTCAGATCTCTGTCCCGCAGGTCACCCTGGTGTGTTTATCTGGGCCACCCTATCAGCCTCTTAGATAGTCTCCAGGCTCCCCAAGAGCAGCTCCATAAACCACCTAAAAAAATCCTTTCTGGAGAGAGAAGAGGTATCAGTCAGGTCAGTCAGGGCTTAGAGCCTCCAGAGCTTTTTTTTTTTTTTTTTTTTTTTGAGAGAGAAGGTCTCACTCTGTCGCCCAGGCTGGAGTGCAGTGGCACAGTCTCGGCTCACTGCAGCCTCATCCTCCTGGGCTCAAGCAATTCGCCTACCTCAGCCTCCTGAGTAGCTGGGGCTACAGGTGTGCACCACCACACCAGGCTAGTTTTTGTGTTTTTTGTAGAGATGGGGTCTTGCTATGTTGCCCAGGCTGGTCTTGAACTCCTGAGCTCAAGTGATCCTCCTTGGCCAGCCAAAGTGCTGGGATTGCAGGCGTGAGCCACCATGCCCGGCTGTCTCCAGGTGTTTCGAGTAGGAGACATTGAGTGCAGGGAGTTGGTGGCACAGCACAGGTGACTGAAGAGCCCAGGATGGGCAACCACAGCAGCTGCCACCACCCCCAGACCCAGAGGGACAAGGGGAGGAAGAGATGTCACCAGGCCCCAGAGGGTTGGGTCCCTCAGGGAAATTGAGAAGCTTGGGGGGCCCACTCCCAGCACTTTGGGGATTAAGGTGGGTGGATCCTGAGGTCAGGAGTTCGAGACCAGCCTGGGCCAATATGGCGAAACCCCGTCTCTACTAAAAATACAAAAATCAGCTGGGTATGGGGGCACATGCCTGTAATCCCAGCTACTCAGGAGGCTGAGGCAGGAGAATGGCACTTTCTCATCATGCTGTGTAATGATGCCAGTCTGAGAACGGCCCCCACCTTAGCCCCACTCTCCCACCTCCTCCCTGCCCCTGAGCTTCGGGCCCTGCCCTCTCTCCTGCTCCTTTCCTGTCTCCCACTTCCAGCCACCCACCTGCATGAATCCACCTGTCTGTTCCCCACATCTGCACTTGGGCATCCTCACCTGGAGAAAGTTCTATCTCCTGGAAGCCTAAAGCCACTGCAGATTCACACCTCCCTCCCCTGTCCCTCCACCTTCCCAGCAATCCTTGCGGGGCAGGAGGTGTTTGTCATCCAGTCACTCATGCATCTATCCAGTCACAAGTATTGATCATTCAGTAGGTGCCCAATGCCATCCTCTGCATTCGGGAGAGGATGTACCTGGAGAGTGGTTGGGGGAGGGGGTGCACAGGGAGGGCACGGAAAACCAGAAGGGAAGTGGAGGGCTGCATTCTCTGCAGGGATGGTCCCTTGTTCCCAGAGCTGAGTGGGAAGGAAGCCACCTGGGAGGAGCAGGAGGAAGAGCATTCAAACCAGGAGGAACCCAGGGGCCAGAGAATCTGGATATTTTCAAAAGGGGTCGGTGGCTGCAGCCGGGTGCGCAGCCAGTGCTTTGGAATGTCAGCCCCACCACAGCTCCCGCTGCAGCCCTGGATCCAGTGCCCAGCAGGACGGGGGCGGGTGGCTCTCGGCCTCACTACAGGGTGGTGGCAGGGTTCCGCATGTAGTTCAGTGGGGGCCACAATCTCCACCTCCCAGGACCCCACCCAAGCTCCCTTTTGCACAGCCCAAACTGGAGCAGGATGGGGACATGGGAGGTGGACTCTGGCTGTAGTGTCCTGTGGTGGGAGGTGTGGCCCAGCTGGTGAGGATACTGTCCCTGTAGGGCTCTTTGATGAGCTGTAACAGCAGACTTGGAGGTGGGGCTAGGGATGACCCAGGCAACCCCGACGGGAGCTTAAGGTGGGCCTGGCACTTTTCCAAGGCTTTGCATTAACTCAGTAATTCTGCCATGGCCCTGGAGGTAGTGCCAAGTATTTC